CTTCCCTATCCTAAAAGTTTCTTGATGTGTAAATTTAGATATTCAGGGGTATGATGAAAATAAAGGGCTTACATTTAATTTTTTAAATGAAATGAGATATTTATTTGCAGTTTGTCTTGTGAATATGATACACCCCTTGATATAAATGTTGAAACCTCTGCTTTTGGATGTTGTACAATGGCAATGTGAATAGGCTAGCTCCATTTCATATCATAGGAATATCATTCAAATTTATTCTGATATTCATTGCTTTTCTTCCCCCCCCCCCCCTTTTTTTTTTAAACCTAAATACCTAAGAGTTCTCTTTCCACACAGATACCAACAATAGTTGTCCATACCTGGGGAAACTACTGCTTCTGGATCACTCATATCAAAGGCTGCCATATTGCCAATAGCGAAGCCATATCCTGAATGGACATCAGGAAGTCCAATAGATCGCTGAAATACAATTTAGGTATTTAGGTTAAAAAAAGGGGGGGAGGGGGAGGAGGGAAGAAAAGCAATGAATATCAGAATAAATTTGAATGATATTCCTATGATATGAAGTGGAGCTAGTCTATTCACATTGCCATTGTACAACATCCAAAAGCAGAGGTTTCAACATTTATATCAAGGGGTGTATCATATTCACAAGACAAACTGCAAATAAATATCTCATTTCATTTAAAAATTAATGGCAAATATAAGCCCTCTATTTTCATCATACCCTTGAATATCTAAATTTACACATCAAGAAACTTTTAGGATAGGGAAGTTTGACAGCATTCCTATTGTGGAGTTCTTGGTAATTCTGAACTTGATTGTTTGCTTGCAGATGTTTCATTATCCGTCCTTGCACTGATGATGGCACCTACTTGGATAATATATCTGCAAGTAAACAAAGTTCAGAAGCACTAAAGGCTTCACAGTTCAATCATGAACTACATATATTCTTTTCTATTAGAAATCATTCTTATTTCTATTTGAAGCAATAGTTCTACTATTCTTGTAGCATTTTATTACATAGAAGAATCCATAGTAAACTCTTCCTATAATGGTTTTATTCTGGATTTAAAATAACAAGGACTCACATGAACAATACCAGGCAATGCAGCTACATTTCCAATTTGTTTCATGGCTGGAAGAAAGCCACCAGCACCTAAAAAAAAAGGTAGGAACTAATTTCTTGTTTCATATGAAAATGTAATTCAGAATTAACATTTTTAAGGACAAAGAACAGTGCTATTCTCTTAACATTTCCACAGAACTACGAATGATGAATTTAAGGCTTATTCCTACATAAAAATATAAAGGGCCATAGCTACAATCACAGGCATATTTCACATGCTAGGCCTATAGAAAATGAAAATATTATGAAACGAGTTAGACTGGGCATAAAACATACCAATTCAAAATTGGAATTTAAAGGGTATGTGTTTTTATATTTAAGCAAGCAGAACTAAAAAGCAAATAGTTATTTTCTCATGCCCAACCAATGGTTCTTCATAAACCAAAGGATAATATGTGTTTATCCAAACAGATTAATGAAGATAAAAATAAGGCTTACTATCAATCTTCTACATGCTTTTAATAAACCACAATATATTTATGATAACTAAACATAGAAGAAGCTGTACTGGATTTCTAGGTATATTTGTTGAACATGTGACAGATTTAAAGGAGACAAATATTGGAGGCATAAGGAAACAAGGAGATTCAAACAAACAATTGAAAACTCAAACATACCTCCACCTCGGCATGCATTTCTTAGTTCTTCAAACATCAACTTCTCCAAAGGCTCATTTACATAAAATACACCCTCCACCTAGAGACAAAAAGAAGAAAATTAAAAAATGGACCACATATTCAAAAGTAGGATTCACCCTTCAAACAAATATTGGTTAACTATGTCATGCAAACTAGAATACTTAATTCTAGATAATTACATTATAATTATGGTTATTTTAAAAATACCTTCCAGTAAAGGTTTAGATTTGTTGAAAATAGTTTAGAGCAGGGTTCCCCCAACTCTGGGCCATGGACCGGTACTGGTCCATGGTCAGTTGGGAACCAGGATGCACAAGCAGTGGGTAAGCAAGGAAAGTTTCATCTGTCCATGTATGGACTCTAGGTTTCGCCTGAAACGATTCTCCCCACCCACCCCCACCTCCTGGTCTGTGGAAAAAATGTCTTATACAAAATTTATCCCTAGTGCCAGAGAAGTTGGGAGACCGCTGTCTTATAGATAGCTTCCTAATGAGGTGCCCTTGGTGCTCTCTCAGCTTGCTTGTTTTCTTGCAGAGGTTTCATTACCAAAACTAGGTAATATCAGTGCTAGTAAAGAGTGATTTTGCTGTCAGTTTATATTCTGATGACTTACTTGTCTGTGTGGGTGGGGGTGGTCTTATAGATTCTTTGGGCTGTTTGCTGATGGCTTTTTGGCAGTTTCTTGACTGGGGTATTGTTTACTTGATTGTTAGTCTGAAGCTTCCTAAATAACCAGAAATGTCAATATTTTGACTCAAGTAAACAATCCACTTCTAAGAGGAACCATCCATAGCGCAATTGGTATCAGCTGCATTTGCAGATCTGATTAGCTGCATTTGCAGATCAAAATTTTTCCCCAGCAGGAAACTGGCAATTCTAGATGCCTTATTTATAATGATCAATCGCCTTTCATCCTTTGGAGTCAATATCATTTGACAATTATACAAAATAATAAAATGCAATCGTATGCACTGTAGGAGGTTAAAATCATATGCAAACTCGGTTCAATTCGGTTGAAAACTGAGCAAACCCAAGCAAGTGAACCCTCGTCATGTTTCATTTTCGCCGCACTGGCAGAATGGTCGCCCCAAAGGAATGAAGGGATCTCGGGGGGACTTTTAGCTATTCATTATCATGCTCCAGAACGAAGTTCAGCGATGAAAACGCCTCTAAGCAACTCACGTTCATGTTGGGCACAAATCCTTTCTTGATGCGCCAGGAGTTCTTATCCAGTTTCTCCAAATATTGCAATTCATCGTTATAGCTTCGGCTCATGGCGAAAAGGAAAGCAAACGTCCCGAAGTTAAGTATAACAGAATAGCGGTTTTCCCCCACCTTCCCTCAGGTGCTTCCCGGCAAAGATAGGCCACGTTCACCTACGTCAGTACGGGGGCCGAGAAGGCGCCGCCTCAATTATCTACTAGGCTAGAAGAAATCGTACGGCGGCCGAAAAGGCTCAATTTAGGATAACTGGAGCAACGCTGCAAAACCTCGGACGACCGCTGGACGGAAATAAAGGGATGCTCTGCGTCTTTACTTCCTGTTTTGCTTCGGTAGTTTTGAAACGGGTCAAATTGCTAAGATTCCTCTGTCTGTCTGTCTGTCTGTCTGTCTGTCTTTTTCCCTCTTTCTCTCTTTCCTTTCCCACCTCCCCCATTATAAACAGCTAAAAGTTGGTGTTTTGGGGTTATGTCTTATATCAGATGAAACAAAAACGGGCTCAGAGTGAAATGGAGAAAATGTGGGAATACGCTTTTGAATATGGAGAACAGCCGAACCATGATTCTAGGTGTACTTTCAATAAGAGGTGGCTATCTATAAATATACATCAGTTGCTGGAGAATGACATTTAATTCTTATAAGATTTCATGGGATATGCAAACAACATAAAAGAAACTACTGTAATTCAGGAGTTCATATATTTATTAGTCTTTTAAGGTGCCACGATACCCCATGTTTTTGCTGCAATATAGTACAAACTGAATATTTTTTAATAGGGGATGAATTTTAGCCACCAAATTATTTGCTGAATTTGTGGTAATTACATCTACCAATATAAAGCAGCCCTTCAGAATCAAGGGTTTTCTGATTGATGCTCACACATCCAGTAGTGGAAACTACAAGATGCGGCCTGCTTATGTTCTGATACCCACTAGACTGCACCTCTTATCATCTCAAATTTTGGTGTGAATGAAAACATAAGATACCCCCATTAGCTCTCCTTTGATATTTGAAAATTAAAGAGCTGCTTGGGTCTGCAACACAAATCACTTTCATGGTTGTAATAAAGTTGGCTTGATTTTTGGTTTTTTTTTTTAAAGGGACATTTCTGCTTTTCCTTAAGGTAAAGTGTCCATTTTCATGCCATAATTCAAGAAAAAAACCAAGGGAAACTAAGCAGTTCTATTACAGCATATTGTTAGTTTGTGTGTCAATTCCAAGGCATATTTTAAAGATGTGCAATAGCATCTTTACTGATGTTATGCTATTCTGGTGCGCATCTGGTCCATGACCCTCCATTTGACTCTTCTGTAGGTTGTTGTGAATTCAGATGAAGACAGATAGGATATTGGTGCTGAGTTGAAACTGCAGCCCTCAAATTTAAAACCAGAAGTCCCTAATCATTTGGTGAATAGCATTGCAAAAGGCTACACATAAGGCATGACCGATCCAATTTTACAACATGTTTTATGATAGTTATTAAACGAAGATTTCT